GCGTGTTTTAAAAAAAACGAATGATTCCAGCCAAATTAAAATCAACCGCCAAATTCAAATCGTCAGAAGTCTTCAACAGGTTGAACGTATATTCAAACCCATAAAACTGGAGATACGTGTGTTTGGAGAATTTGTGGTTAAACGCGTTAGAACAACGGCAAATATGTGGCGAGCGATAAATTCGTGTCAATGTAAACGGAGCTACGACGGAATCACGGCGTCATTCGGGGGGGAGGAAATTAGCGTGTTCGGTCTCGGTTTCAGTCGGTTTCGTAAGAAACGTTAATACATATTAAACACGCGGTTCGTGCGACAAACGTTTTTCTGGCGAGCAGCGACCTAAGCATACACGCTTAGAGAATGAACAATGATATCATCGATCTTGCTTCACACAGTATGGGAGTCTTCCGAGAAGGAAACAACGTCGTATGCGTTGGATAACTCGTATAACTCGTTCTTTTCCTATCGCTAATTTCTGGAACGATGAATGAAACGTCCTCGACAAATGAGATGATCCTTGGGGAAAGAAAATGCTACTCGAGCAAATTAAGAAAATAATTTTGTAGCTCAAAAGTCTATCTTTCTCGATGTTATATAACGAAGATTTAGTAGAGTGGATAATTTGAAATTCAATAATACGTTGCGCTTCTTTTTTCTTTTTGCTGTAGTAATTGTATAAACGTAAATGATTTGTATTAGATAGATAATTATATTGAAAAGAATTACGTTTCTTTTTGATCTGTTTAATGATCCTTGCTGATTATTTCAAGAGAAACTTGCACGTATATACGAATCTTTCGATTATCTCAGACTACTTTGAGACACATCTAGATTAAGTTTTTCAAGCTTAAGTCTAATCTCAAAGAAATTGTCGCACGAAATAGAAAATTTTATTATCCATAATATTTTATGAGTTTTGATGTAAAAGTATGTTCTTCTCTCTATGCGTGTAATGTCACATCAGATGATATAATGTCACAATGTAAAAATGTTTACAATAAGTTTTTCTTTATCAATTCTTTCATTGTATCGTCCGAGGATTAGAGTGAAAGTACGTAAGTAAAAATACTTGAGTGGAAAGTTATGTCTTTTTCGTTGAATGTAGAAAAAAAATTTTTTAACGAAACTTTAAGGCTAATAAAAATTTTTTTTCTTAACGAAAAATCTTTCATTATCCAAATTAATTGGCAAGATCATTCGGATAATATAATAGACAGGCTTTTCTTAAATGAATCATTTTAAGGCAAATAATATTTTTACTTATAATAAAATTAAGATAATGAAAGAAATTAAGAAGAATAAATCATTACAATTTTTAGCAAATTGCACGAATTTTTTAACATGTACACGTGCATCTTGCAATTAATTTTTTTACCTTTCCTCTCTTCGCTCTCCCGCTTCTTAATCCCAATGATTTTTCAAACTCTATCTCATCGCTTTCTAGTTTCCTAAATATTTCCAATTTCATTTTAATACGTTGTACACGCTACAAGAATATATTAATTTTTAATTAAATTTTTAATTAAAAATAATTTCACATTAAATTTTTATCACAACTATTATAATATCGAAAAACGTGTTTTTATATTATTAAATAAATTAGTAAATAAAGATGATATCCAAACCGAATAATAAAATATTCAGTTAATAGTATTCGAATAATAGGTATTTGGATAGTAAAGTTTTATACTATATTGTTTCACGGACATTTGATTTCAAATTATATTACATTGTTCGTGCTTCGCCGAATGGATCTTCTCTTAAAACAGTAATGGCGAATCTTTTGCAATTACGCAGATCGATTTTATTTTTTACACGATTTTTAATTTGCTTACAAACAATATAATAATAATAAAAAACTCTTTCTCAATAGCTGCGAGCACCTTTTTCTTAACTTTCGTTGAAGGAAAAGGGAAAGAAACTTCGAAAATTTTAAACGGTGCAAAGGAGAACGATTATGCAAACGTTAGAACGAAGAAAACGCTCGGGGAGAAGCTCGTCCGTTCAACTGCAACACGCATCTCACATGGGTGATCCGATTTGCAACGGCCATGAACGTTAACAATAGCGATTAAAGAGCCATCGATCAATCTGTCCGCCTACATTCGTTCAAAGCAAACATTCTTCTCGGTGTTTCCACTTTCGTTTCAAGTACGCGCCACTCGATAATGGAACAAATTATTTCAGATAAAACAAGAGTGGGTTCCAATCGCCTCCTCTAAACCGATACGAAGCAAGGAGCAAATTAAATTAAGCGGGCGAAAGAAGCTGCAGCCAGCGTTTGATTAACCGAAGCTTCTTCTTGCCTTCGTGGCTGATAGCTGATGTGCAAAACATTGCGATAACGAAAGACGGGAGAAAATGCTGCGTTTAACCCGTGTCACGGATAAAACCGCTTCTGAATTTCAATGTTGTTTCCTCGAGAGTTCCATCGATACGAGTCGAAGCCTTTTTTTAAAAAATGTATTAACTTTCTTCGGCTTGATCTAGATTTACAACAACTTTCCTATTCCGAAAGTATAATTAAAACAAACGAATTATTCCGTCACAACTGTATTCCAATTCTTTTAAACATAAATACACGCTTTATCTTCCGTGAAGACGAATTCAATTCAATTCATTCTTTTTTGCAAAGATTTAAATGAAAAACTTACATACATTATCCATGATAAATAAATTTCGTAGCATTAATTCTGTTTAAATGCTCCATTTTAATTTCCGTCTTGATTTCTTAACAAAATTTCATCATCGAATAAATAAAAACGATAAGATTTGTCTCATCCTCGTAAAAAGAAATCGACATATTCACTCTCAATATTCCCAATATTCCCCACAATTGCTACCAATTGATAACAACCGAGTTATCCTCTCAGAAAACGTGGTGAAAATCGAAATGGATCAACACGCCCACGCGAGGAGTCAGCGGTATAAGCAGGATAAAACGGTCCACGCCGGTTTCGCGAGTTGTTCAGTTGGCCAGACGAGGACAGATAACGAGATACGGGGATGGAAGAGGGGTGGCCGGCCGTATTTATCACTCCCGAGGAGCGCACAATGCGAGGCGAGACGGAGAGAAGAGAGAGAAAGAGGGGGAGGGAGAGGAGGCGAGCGAACGAGCGGTGCTTCGCCTGCCCGGTGGAACGAGACGCGATGTAGTGCAGGTAGATTTATGGAAGGTGGGAGGGAAGAGAGAAAGAGGAACTCTGTGTGTTTGTGTCGCAGGTCAGCCGCGGTTCACGGTCACGGGGACCAACCGCTGGACTAACCTAACGTAACCTGACTCGGCGACCGCAAACTGAATTGCACCCCTCGACACTCCTCCACCGCCTACCGCTCCTTTCTTCCTCTCTTCGCTCCTTCCTCCTCCCTCTTATTCCTCCATTTGTCCACCAGCCGGCCCCCCACTCCCTCCAGCGGAATGCACTTAATTTATTAAGATGCTGAAACCCCGCCCCCCCTCCCCGGGCCACCGACTTTGCAATAGCGCTTATATATCTTTTTTTTTCCTCTCTGTCGATAATTACAATACGAGGACCAAGTTCTAGGAAGCAAACGCTGACTCCTGCTTGTCCTCGAGACGCGATGAGTTGTTGCGGTGGGATGGAACGAAAATAAATTGTTACTTGAATTTTTCAATTCGAGTAAGTATTAATTTCAAAATTATTAAATATGTATATATGAGAGAATTATAATCCAGTTTGAGATTATAATAACATAATTTTAATGAGACGATAAAAATGAAAGTATCTATATCTAGTATAATATTATACGTAAGAGTTAACGTTCAATGTGAACGCTGTGTCGGGATATATAACAATCGTTTACATAAGCGTGCGGTGGGATCTTCGCGCGGACGCATCGAAGTAATCCAATCCGACACGTCGTAAATTGCCCGCACCCTCCCACCTTAGCCGCATTTCCCTTCCGCGCTACTATGCAAAATTTATTAGCAGGGCGTGCCTGTATAAGTACACAGATCGGGAACCACTTTTTCCTGATTGATTAAACACGTCTCGCGAAACCTGGTCGCGTTCTGCTCGCTTCAACTGTATCAACTGACCCGTTCAGGAGGAAAATTAAATAACGAGATCTATCTACAAATTGAACGCGATTATATTGGTTTAATAATTTATTAATAACAAGATAGGCGCGAGAAAAGAGGAAAAAGGGGGGAGGCCTGTATAGTTCGTGATACGGCCCGAACCGCGAACGAATCCTGCTTCGATAGGAAACCAACGAACCGTGCACGCATCCGATCGATCATGATACATTGATAGAAATCGATACCATAGTCAACACGAAACGATACAAAAAGAATATAAAAAAGAGAATTGCTGTGCGGGCTTCAAATGGCAATTATCCAATTACTGGATAATTCGCATTAGCCACAGTTGTACCGCCTAATAATTGCACCTAGTTGCGATAAAATGTAAAGCGATCTTACCGGTGCGTTGGCCATTATCGATCGAGCCGATCGAAAATCGAGGGAAAATTAAATTAATTTAAAATAAAAAAACTCCTAATAATTATATCTACATATTTGGTGTATGTATTCAAATTAAAATATTGTTCTTTTGAATTTTTAACCAGATACACAATATATATATATAAATCCTTATATATTTAGTTCCGAAGAATTTTTGTTCCGTCGTTTGAAAGATAGTTACGTTTGAGAATAAAAAAATCGATGCTATAGGTAGTGATTTTCATACCAAATACGGTTTCCGGTCGGCTCGTTGCATAACGTATTCAATGGCTACACCAATTATAGCGGTTATTTGACGCGAAGCGCGGCTAAATTCGCCCGTAAAATTCTGACCTTGAGAATTACGATGGAACGTACGTTTATCTCCCTAGTGTTGCCGATGGAAATTCATCCCGAACGGCGATTTCGCTTGGTTCAGACAGAACATTTGCATTGCGAACAACTGCAACGCCCGCGCGTAAACTAAAGTAAATGTATACGAAGCAAAATTACAAACCAAGTGTGTAACACTTACAGGAAGATTCCTGAGCCCAAGCCGCACCTTCGAGTATCTCTTCATAAAAACCCGCCAGAGCACGTAAGCCATGACGATTATCCAATTTTTGATTCTCTTGTGAGGTTAACTTCGAAACTCTTCCGTCACTTTTTACACTTTGTCACTTTTTCGCGTAAAAATTTCACAGCTTGACTCACAGTCAGCATTCGAATTCACAACCGTCAGTCACATGACCGTGATCGTTTGATTAAAATTTCCATCTCCACATCTCTATCTCGAGAAATAACGACGCGAACACGTTGCGCAGTAAAAACTCGATATCGAATTCGTTCTAGTAACGTTACTTTCCCGCCTAAATCGAGCTTATGATCTTTTAACAACTGATATGATATTTGCTTTGAACACGATTTTCGTGACAGCACGATGAAAAGAGTACAAAAAATAAGGCACGTGTATTCGTATGCGTTAATAAGAGGAAACAACACACTTCGCGTACGAATCGAAGCAACAAACCTCAAACTTCATACCGTTCGATAATTCACGAAATGGATTAGATAAATCACCGTTCACTTTAAAGAAATAATATTTTTTCAGTCGAACGTTTCCGAGATTTCACAATTTTGTGCTTAAAACGAACATGATCGTGTAACACATTAACACATTTATAAGATACTTATCGATATCGTGTCATAACACATCGTTCATTTCGTGATGGCGTTCGATACACAATTCACGTTTTCAACGGATGTCACAAGAAATGAATGAACGCAAACCAAGCATTGACACGAGAAAATAAAACGTCCAAACTTGATAATCTTCGAATTGACATGATGTTGCATAATTCATTATAATGTCTCGATCGTAATTGCGTCCGGTCATGCACGCCACCGATACTACCGACACGTGGTATATTCAATAAACATCAAATCCAGTTCATTTGATCGATTGAAATCACTGCAGTATGTGATGTAAAATGACACATATAATCGTACCGCATACGATTTAACTACATATCAAACAATCACGTGTCAGATCCTGTACTTAACCTTGAAATTCTTCGTTTTTGCAAAAGAAGATTCATACTTGATTATCCGCGAAAATGAATCGACTGCACTCGATATCATGATAAATGTCATCACATCAGAATCCAAGGAAACGACTGTCATGATTTAATCGACTTAGGCAACAAGATTTTCTGTAAACGATATAAACATTCTCGAAAGAGATTACTTCAAGAAATGAAATCACACATGAATTCGTTTACAAATTCGTTCGACAACAGGATACGGTTATTGAAACTTTGTCGTATGTTTTTGCTGGTGTTAATACATCAAGATACACGAGGATTTTGAACGAACAACGCGCATCGAAATACCCGTATGCCTAACGGCTCTCGCTGCCGAGATATAACTGACACGACACACGCAACTGCCTACTCTCGCGCTCGAACTGTGGAACGATGAAACGGGACGTCCGGAACGCCGGAACTGCGGAACGATATACCTGAATCGCGTTTCAGCACAACTTTAGGCGTGCCTTAACCACCCAACACCACATTTAAGAATAAAGGTTGGTATGCTTCGGGGGTCTACTAAAATCTGCGAGTTCACCAAACTACATTATCATGATACTTTTCCTTTTTGATGCTTTTATTTTATATGCAATTTGATATTGATTCGTTTCAAATATTTAAAATTGATATAGCAATAGTACACACTTTTTATATTATAATATTGAACATATAACGAACGAATTGAATCAATAAAATGTAATTAGAATAATTTTCCTTATAAATATCCATTTTCTAGAATACATATAAGATATCAATCCATTTCGAAAGAGAACCCATGGCTCCATAGACAACATTAATAGCTTTTTGTCACGCAAAAGTATCGACAAAAACTATCAGAGTAATAATATTGATAACCTCCCAAAATGATAAACATTTTATTTCACTTATATATATATATATATATCATTTATGTTTATCATTTAATATTACACGATTAATTCAAAGAATACAATGATTCATATTATATATTTTTCTCTTTAATTCTTATATTATTTTGAAAGTTACATAAGTTATTCTTTTATACATATATATTGTACAATATTCTACGATAGGTATACCAGATATACCTATCCAAAGTTAATTCTTTGGAAACGATCTTTATTTCCTGCCGATGATGCCGAAGGTGAGGAAAGTCGAAGAAGAAATTGAAAAAAGAAATGACCGTTTAAAAAGCAATATAACACGAGCTGGTCGTAATGGAAGAAAGAGTTAAAACGATTCAGTGTGTCTCACGACGCAGCCAAAACAAACAGAGCTAAACAAGCGGAAGGCTCGATACCCCCGCTCCACACGTGCCCTATCCTGTTTACATTCGTTTGTTTTCACTTCAATGCTGGCCAACTCGACTTCCATTCGTTGCTGCACATTACGCGACAGCATTACCATCCCTATACCTTACATCCGGGCCGTTTGATTTATCAACCGATAAAACGTTTTCAAGGCACTCTCGTTAACGAGACCTAATCGCCGATACAATTAGTTCGGATAAAAATGCGCCCATTATTGACTTTCGCAATGGCTATCTCGATTCTCGTTACAGCATCGACGTTTTTTATTTAGCGTAACTGGCATTAAAATACGAACATTTCCGACTGCTAATGATAGGTTTAGAAAAAAAAAAAAAAAAAGAAAGAAAGAAAGAAACTAGTAAGTAAAAGTAAAGATTAACGATAAATTTTAAAATAAAAATTAAATCATCCTACGTGATTGAACGAAATATACCACGAATCGGGACAATTCCCCGAATAATCCTCAATAATTTCCCTGTTTAAATTCCAGATACGTGCGAGAGGGTACAGGTTGAAAGGAAATATGGAGGACTGGTCGCATAAAGATCGCCAAACGTATACGAGGCATCGCGAACGACCTTACCCGCTGAATTTTTAACGCGTGAAACGTGCAGCCCTCGCTGGGAAAGTCTCGAAACATGGAACGTGCATGCCGAATAATAGGATTGGCGCGAACAAACTCCGTCCATCGATCGAAAGGGACCACTTATAGCTGGAAAGAAACACACCCTGGCGAAACGGTTCTCTTTCACAATTAGCGCCGCCACTTCCTGTGTGTGTCTCTCCTATCGCCTTTTACCTCTTCCCCTCTTTAATATTCAGCCACCGTTCCCGTAACCTACGTTGCGCCGACACACAGACACACACGTCTCCTTCTCCTCTACGTGGATGTGCACGTGCGCGCGCCATGTATTGGCCTCCGTGCGTGTCACTATGCGCGACACATGCATTCTCCGCGAGACAATGGGCGGTGCCTACCTCACGTGACGGCCACGTGAGCACCCTCAAAAAGGCCCTCGGTTCCTGACGTTCATTCATATCGGCTCGCCTGTTTCGCGGCCGACATTGATGACCCTACAGGCAACGAGTCAAGGAGAAGTTTCTGCGCGGTAAAAAGAATCGTCGATCGTACCAACCGTCGTTCCGGATTTAATTTTTCGTGGGCCGCGCAGGTGCGATTACACCGTAAGCAAATTATGCGTCACCGTAACAATATCGTTCGCTCGGCAATATCAACTGTTTGTACCGTGTTTATATCCTGTCTTGTTATATATATGTTATATATATATAATCCGTGGAACGAATGTGGCAAACTTGTTACTTAAATAAGGCGTGAATTACAGGTACAACAACTTCTGTTGTGAGCACGATTTACAATTAAAAAATGGTGAAAATTTTTTATATCTTTCGACTATCTGTTATTTATTTCTGGCATTTTTTAATACGTACATAAATCTATATACGTTTCAAATTTTCATTCAGTAGTTATATAAAAGTTATTCTAATCCGATATAGATATCAATATATCAAATCAACATATACAAATTCGCATATTACATTAATTTCTAAGTTCAGAGGAAAATAAATTAGAGTAAAAACGTAGAGTAGATCTCGTAATATTTACGTACAAAGGTAAGTGAACGGCAATGTCAATGGTTTCGCGACTATTCTTGGATCTCTTCCACATAGAGCTCTCGTGCTCGGAATCGATAAAGGAACTAACGTTTATTATTTCGCAAGCAACCCCTCCCGTGTGAACGCGCTCGACCCTCGCAAATCGTAATTGCCGGGCAACGAATAGGCACGTCTAGCTGCTCTATGAGATAGCTTGCCTCTGAGTCACTCCCCCGCGGTGCGTTTAAACTTTAAACGCTTTCTGCACGTCGTACCGACACGTTACACTTCGCAATAATTGTAACGATTCTTGACTTCGTGAATAGAACCGGCAACCGTTTCAACTGTGTGTTCCAACACACACCCGGGGAATCAGAGTGAATGGTAAAATTGGAACACGAGGCGAATATTTGACGATGATATACACGGCAAGTGTAAAATTTATACTTACATATTTTCTTGTATTATAAAATCGAGCGATTCGAATTCCTTCTGAATGCATTTTCCACACTTTCTTCTGCTAACCGGCCGCTTTTCTTCGAGAAAGTTGCTGCTCACTCTAGATGGCAATCTCGAAGAAAAGGATCCGACGAGCAAGCGAATCAGCTGTAATTTTTTCTGTGCAAGCGCATTAACATAGAATAAAATCGGCTTTTCACGAGCGGATAAAATTTTCATCGCGTGCCAGGAGACCAGACACGTGTACATACTTTCAGAACCTGAAATTCAACAGGTGCGAACGTTTGTCATAAGAGCTGGCACCGAGCCAAACGTCGAAACGTTTCACGATTGTGAACGTATATCGCCATTTTTAATCGCAGGAACAAGGCTTTCGTGCAACGCCCTTCATCTATCTCGCGCATTGGCGAAGAAGAAGAGGGAAAGATTGTGCGACGATCGAGGAGTGATTGTCGATCTCGTGATTACAGTTTTCCGTGCGCCATTAGACAGACGAAACTGGCAAGAATCCCAGACGCAGAAGGGGAAGGAAGCGCAGATAATTAGAGAGCGGATTAACGTGTCGCGAGTCGTACCTGTACACCAACCATTCTGCATGTGTATCGGGTTGAAATCGTAACGTGCAACACGAATCGTGAATCACTCGCTCGCTTGAGCAAGAGGGAGTGCTCGCCACGAACGTGCCGCACCACGAATTGACGATAGATAAATGCACGGGAGATCGTATTATCACGATTCTTTGGGGACCCCGTCGAGGTTATCCGGGTTAATCGAAGAACCAGCCAGTGTAACGACGACGATTATTATTCGATCTGGCGAAATTCGCCTACGTATCGATCTTATTCGAGCTTACTTTCCCGAACAAGGCGCCATAGCCCTTTTAGAAGCCACTTATTATCCGGCCCGATTCCAATCTTCGATTGAGAGCTGTTTCTCAAGCTGGTCGTTAGATCCTTTAGCTTCAGATTCGCTCCACGTTTTCGACACGATCGGATTGCACAATTTTTTTTAATCCCTTATTTATTATTTAAAATAAAATAGTTGTTACGAACATCTCTTTCGACATCTCATCCCCGTTTTCTTCCTTCAGAGGATTGTGGGCCCGTTCTCGAGAGGCGTCGCCTATCGAGGAATGGATTTAAAAAAGGATCAAAGAGTCCCAAAGAGACCTTGGCCAGAAGGAGATGAGTCATAGGAGGCGTCGCTTCTAAACCTGGACCCGAAATCCATGATAAAATTTCATCGAGAGTTATAGAAAACGAAGGGACAATAAATGGCAATGGTTCATTTAACGGTTCACCGGCGGTTGGTAAAAATTTGACGTTCCACGGATTTACGATTCCCGCCCCGAGGACTGAATTATGGCGCCTTACGTGCCGCATTTGCAAACCCGTCGCACCGCACACAGGCAGGCAGGTTTTGCACGTTACACTTTATATCGTATACGAGTGCACGCCACGACAGGTATTTACACTGTCAGCGTAAGGTTACACGGAAAATAACGAAGAAACATCGAAGAACGGGGCCCTCTTAACAATTAGCACGTACCGTTGATCGCGGTACATCGTCTTCCATAAATACCCGTGAAAACGTTTCCTGTAGACGGACGTTGTTCAGAACTCGTCGCCACGGAAATCACGTCTCGTCACTGGGGAAAGAAAAAGGAAAAACGTGTAGCCAAGATCCGTCGCTTTAGTGATACTATAATATCGACAAATTCTCGATGCTGTGAGTCTCGTGAAAAATGGAGAAACGAGTCTCTTTCCCCTGTAACGCACGCCTTAACGCGCAAATATGTCGGCAAAGAGAACGAGTAACGCATGCAGCGTCGATTACATGGAATTTTCGAGGTCTTCCCCTCTTCAACAAATCACTTTTTACTCATCTTACGGCGAGCGAGTCGTTCGCGAGGAAGGCGGCAACGTTCCTTTTTCGACAGGGAATCGTCGATATTTCGCCACGGCGATGCACTAAACCGCG